ACTTCTATCAATCGAAAGGAGACTGCGACCACACCAGAGGCCACAACATCTTGGTCTTCATATATTCATCCAAGACAAGTTTCACTAAACCAGTTAAATTTGGCCTCTCATGGCTATCTTTGTACATTCTTGGAAAGACTGGAATTCAATCAAAGAACAAAAAGGCAAGAAAGAAACCAGGAACTCTCGTCCGCTCGCGACGCCAGTGCCAAGTAAGTTTGAAATCGGAACAAGGGAAAGTAAAGCGCTGACCTCATGCCATGGTAAAATGAGCTACAAAGTAAATATAAGCCCAAATAGGATTTTTATATTATTTGTTAGGGCCATAATAAATAAATGAACAAAAAGGCCCAGATCAACGTTAATTGAATAGATAGGCCTACTCAACAAGTTACAAGTAAAGGCTAAGTAACTTTCGAGGATGGAGTTAAAAGCAAAATAATGAGCCGCCTAGGCCCAGGAAATATTCCTCTTACTCGAAATACAGCTAGCTTGTTGGCGTGGTTGTTACAGGTAAGATTTGATAAGATCCCTGCAGCACAGGTCACAGTATTGTGATCCCCAGTGCTGATCAATTGCGTTAGAACTTGCAGTAACGGTCCCAAATTGTCCAGTCGACTGGCCGCGTCTGAGAGATTGCGCAATGTCCATAGGCAATTTAAAACCAAACGTGCACCAGCTTGAGCGTGCAAGTGTCGACCAAGAGCTTCCATGCCACCAGCCGCGATGATAGCCGGCTTGTTGGCCGTACAAACACTGAGGACTTTGAGGACACGTGCAGTCGTCCAGAGCAATTTCTCGTAAGTGTAGGAACGCAAGATTCGTACAAGCTCGACTGGGCCACCGCTCGCTAGTATTGCAAGCTTGCTCTCTTGGTGTCCATAGGCCAGGATTTGCAAACAGTCAGTACAGATTGTAAGGAACTTGACATTGTTTTTTCCCAACAAGCTTGTCATTCGTTCAAGACATCCGGGTGTGCTGCGAACAACAACTTTGGCGCCATCCTGGTGTAATAGCAAATTGTGCAATGTAGTTATGGCATAGAATAGGACAGATTCGACTGGAGACGCAAGCAACCTGACAAGACAGGAAACACAATTAGCAGCAAATATCGCTTTGAGGCCAGTTTGCGTTTGTGAAAGATTGTAGAGCGTGCCGGCCAGAAGACGTACTGTCTCTGGGTCGTCAGTCCTATCGAGAGCAGAGATAATGCAGGCAATCATCTCCCGAGAGTCTATCAGAGAATCAATGGCTTCCGACTTGCTCAACTGAAAAACCATCATGGAGGCTTGGTAGATCACAACCTGAAAACAAAGAGAACAGCATCAGTGAGGGTAGATGTAGTAAACAAAAAGGATTGAAGAAAAAGGGACCTGTCTGTACAATCTGGAAGGATGTCAAAAGATGAGAGCAATTAAAACAAGTGGAACACATACACAGTTATCCCACTGTAAATTAATTGAATTAATAAAGCCTTAGTCTGCCTAGATAGATTGCATAGGTTAAGGGACTACCTAAAAAATTACGGTAAAAATGAAAAAAATGAGACAAAAAACTACATTCAATGTGAAAAAATTTCAAAATTCAGGTAAGTCAAATAGTGAAGTGTCTGCTTAAAATGCAAAGTTGGAAGAGCATGATGAGCCGAAGATCAAAGAAACTTAAGACAGGAAAAATGAGGGGTAAATGGAATGAATGTAATGGAAATAAAAAGCTAACCTGATCGTCTTCATCTTTTATCAATTTGACCAATTCGGGGATAGCACTGGCAGCTTCATCTGTATCCAGATCAGACAGGCGGTTGCCACGCGAATCCATTAGAGGCATGGAGCTAATCAACGATTCATGTGTTGGCAAACCGTCACTGCAAATGAGGCCGCGGTCGTTATCTAAATGGCCGCTAGTAGTGGCCATTGTGTTTGGTGTGGCCGGAGACATGAGGCACGATGAATCTGGTGCAGACGGGTAGACTGAAAGTGGACCGGATGGACCACCAACGGAGCCTGTATTGCAACCAAGTTCTGTGACAGGATGATATGATTGTTGTTGTTGCTGTCTGTAGCCAGCCAAAGGGGGTCCAGAAGGACGATGGCCAGAAAGGAGACTGCTAGCACAGCTGCTGTCCTCGTGATCCATCCCCTCTAGTTGCCCGTTTTCTCTATCTGCTTCTTCATCTTCCATACCAGTCATCCGGCTAGCTAAACTTGGTGTGTGTGTTGCTAAGGCCGATTGAATGCCTGAGTCGATTAAAGCGATTGGTGGTGCCAAGTAGGCACTTTGTTGCCAAAGCCGTGTCTGCTGTACACGATCAAGGGCGGGTGGTAAGGGCATCGAAATATCCAAAGAGCGAATCGGGCTGTCGGAATTAGGGGCCGCGGCGGTGAGCGAAATATGGTCCGGATTCTGATGAGCATCTAGACGCTGGGACAGAGACTGAGCCCTGGGCCCAGAGGCGCAGATGGAAGGGGCCAGATCGGCCATCTTAAAGAGCTTCACGCTCCTAAAAAAAAGATAAAATAATAAATTAATAATCGAAGAATTTG